AGTAAGAGCTCAACTACTTGCGTCGTGCCGCGACGTTAAATCAGGCGCTGCGTGGGAAGCAACACACGAATTTATTGTAAGTGTAATGCATAACTTCATAACAAAAAAAAAGTAGCAGGAACACGCCCAGACCGCGGTCCCAGCGTAACCGCGGCCGGACCGCGGTCCAGGACCCCCTCTGAAGTTTTCTACCGCGGTCCCAACGTAACCGCGGTAGGACCGCGGTCCAGGACCCTCTCTGAAGTTTTCTACCGCGGTCCCAGCGTAACCCCCTCAAATTCATGAATATTTGGTCTATTATTTTTCGCGGAGCCATACTGTTTAATGACAACAAATAAACCTATCGTCTTAAATCATACTCTTTTCCTTTCTTTATTCTTCTTTACTTCAGGAGATCACTCATTAGCAATTTGACTCCTCACAAAGCAGCTGGGAATAAATTCAATCATTAAGATTACAGCTTCTGCTTGATAGAACTGATACTAACGGCTCAAGTTCAAAATCTGAAACATTTGTAACTAAGCAAATTAACCTTTGAATGTCGGGCGCAGAAGATAAAAGTCTGGATACTGAATACTACCAACAACCACAACAACAAACCCATTATATTCCCACAAGTGAAGAAGAACAAGTAGTACCAAATAGTGACAACAGGGATAAACGATAATTGAAGCGAACTCAACAATATGACGTAACATAGATTTAAGAATATGAAGCTACATGAGTGCTACTAAATCTACTGGTATGAAAAGGAGAAACTTATAACTACCTACTAACCTTCTACCCTAATCCTCGACCTCCACACCTTCTTATCAAGGGTCATGTCCTCAGCAAGTTGAAGGAGTGTCATGTCCAACCTAATCACCTCTCCCCAGTACTTCTTTGGCCTATCTCGACCTCTTCTCAAACCCGCCATGGCAAACCTCTCCCACTTCCTAACAGGAGCATCAATGTTTCTCCTCTTAACGTGCCCGAACCTTGAGTCCCCCATCTTGTCCTCCACGGAGGCCACTCCCACTTTGTCCTGAATAACTTCATTCCTAATCTTATCACTCCTGGTACACCCACTCATCCATCTCAAGATCCTCATTTCTGCTACTTTCATCTTTTGCACATGGGAGTTCTGACTAGCCAATACGGAATACTACCACTAAATGCAAACTTGAGCTGTTCTCTATGATTTAATATGCAACCAACAATCATAAATTTAATAAGTACTTCACTTCCCTTAATAAATGATCATCTGGTTACTTAGAATTTTGCTATTTAAATCTCTACTTATGGACGATGTTGAGGCTGTAAAGGTTTTAATTGGCACTTAATGTGGTAAGTGATTTCCATTTTACACTGTCAAACACATCCAAAATCTAATTGCTTAATTTGTTCAGCTTTAAGTCCTGATAAAAATTATCACACAGGCTCTTCATGGCATCAAGTAAATATGTTAGGGCTTAAGCAAACATTTAGCATTTAAAACTGGCAACCGTATGAGATGCACAGGTAATTCTGAATAAATATTAATAACTTGAGTAAAATAAGTACTTTCGCTTTTTCAAATTATGTGCTGGCGTTTGAGTTTTGACTAGGCACCCAAATTTAAGAAAGAAAAAAAAGACCTCTAAAATTTGTGGCCTTAAACATGGCATAGCATATATGTGTCTAAGAAGCATGTCGTTAAGGATAAATTTGGGAAATTTCAAGTTAAATTGTCTCCAAATATGAAAAATGTGCCATTCTTTTTGGAAGGACTGATAAGGAAATGGTGACACATAATATGGAATAGAGGGAGTAATAAACAACCAGTTAGATTAAGGAATGAGCTTCATCATTCTGTATCGACTTTTAGAACACGGAAAAAAATTTCAAAAATCTTTTAGCACTCGCAAATTATGTATCTAGGATGAGATATTTTGTCCTTTCGGGTCATATTTTCTACTGATACTTTTAAGACTATCGAGGTGCAGTTTAGAACCCTTCTCTTCTTTTTCTACTTAAATGCAAACTTTTCTTGACTCGGGTTTTCCTTCCATTTCATGAGCTCAACATCTGTCATGACCTTTTCTACCAAAGTGACATGCGGAAACGTATGAAGAATAAGTAAACCCATAAAACACAAAGAAACATGCACCTAAGAGAGAAAAAAGTTTAAAGCTTCAGATAATTCGTACGAAGAGGAACCATTTCATGTACCTGCTGCCATGCTTGGATTGCCAAGCCCCTTTTATCCATTCGCCCACTCAAAGCATCGCGTAAAATTGAAGGAAAGTAGCGCAAAGTTTTCTCAGACCAGGTATGCTGGCTAGTTGCTAGAATCTGTTCTAGCATTGTCTGAAGATACAGTAACTGATCAAACTCCCCGATTCCACGAGTTTTGATTATGATTGCAAGAGTAACAATTGTTATTCTATTTAAAGTCTCAGTAAACTCAGTTGGACCCTGCATATGCATTGAGTAGCTCAGAAAAAGTTATAATTTGAGTACAGAGCATTCACAAAATTTCAGCTGGAGAAATATTCCTACCTTCCCTTCCCTCTTCACATAGAAAAAATCTCTCAACGACAAAATCAGATTCATACATAAATTCTCAGCCAATCGGAAAATGCGATGATCTCCACGTTTCCCCTTCAGTGTAGAAATCATTTTGGTGACATCATACATCAAGGTCTTGCTCTTGCCTTGATACCTAGAAAAGGGAAGAAGTTTATTGACTTTATTTTTTATCAGTTATTTAGAGAATCAAGTTACAGAATCCTAACAATTGAGGAGGTGCAAAAAGATGGTAATGCTATCTATATGTACAAATGCGAATGTACTATTCTTTAGTAAAAGCAACATTGATCGTCAGTCACATAAGTAGAGAATATAGATAATAGAGAAGAAACTGATGAATTCCCAAGATGAGTAACTTCACTAACCTGTAGAGTGAAAGGAAACGATAGTTAAGAATTTCAAACACCAAGATCGTGTTTCCAGGCTTGGTCAATGTGGTGGGATTCCTCGATGTCAGATGCTGCAATAGAAGTTTGCATCAAGAGCAAAACGTAATGAACTCCAGTAGGAAAGTGTGCAAACAAAAACACAAGTTAGACTAACCAAGTCTCCTACCAAGAAAATGAAACTGCCTACAAAGAAATCTTAGCAGCATTCCATAATGGGAAGCCACAATTAATCCGAATTAGCAAGAAACTAGAGGAAATTCACTAACATATTACACCGATTACCCATCAAAAGATGAACAACCCACTAAACGACAGAATATGGAACTTAAGTGCTTCTACAATAACGTCGCTATTCTGGTACTAAAACTGACTAGTATAGTAACTACACAGTTTGCAGAGGGGATAATGAAAGGAAGTCACTGCCTACAGGTGAAGGACAAAGCCCGAGGAAGGCCTATGCTACAGTAAGACTGTGTAATGAAGCTACTTAATTTTATTTAAAAGAAAAGGAAAGGCACTTGCATTGAGTCATGTTGGTGTAGGGTGTAGGATAGGCAATAATACTTACTGAATGGCCTGACCATCTCCTAAAAGCTTAAGCAAGAGAAAGCACACATTTATTTACTTAAATATGTCTTCGATAATGCTGCTTAACAAAATATGTCCTATATTTGTGATCCTCCCCTGTTCCGGTCATGGAATAGATGAAATAAATCAAAAAATGGATCTCTTTTTTCTGTCCACACTTCACAACTGGCCTCTCTCATCCTGTCTCCAACTTCATACCTCTCTCAGTTAAATTTGCCCTTACATAATCCTCCTCTGCTTCCTCTCTTACCTCCAAGTCTCCTAGTCCTAACCCGTTCCTACAGCAGTATGACATTGTTGCAGCCCTTCAATATGTTAAAAGTTGCCTGCTACGCACACGACATATTAGTTACTTTTGTTGAACTTTGAAATAACCCCAACATCCACCCTCCTTCTCGATGAAGTTGAGTAACTACTTCCTTAACTCCATCATAGACATCTTTTACTTATGGCATTATTTCAGAAATGCTGGAAAATACCTCTCGTGCAAAATAGGTTTCTCAATCTTTGTAACTTATTTCAGTTTACTTCTCCAGATACATTTTCTTCGAGTATACCAAAATCCCCATATTCCTGGTCGATCCCTTTATCCACCCAACCCTTCTCACCCTCTTTTCTCCCAATTCCTCTAATACTCCCACACCTTTTTGCTTTCCCTTCTTCTGGTTTATTTTCTAACCTGTAATGCCAATCACCTTAGTTTTAGGAGCAATGGTCTTAGTTTTAGGAGCAATGCTTAGCACCCATTTTATCATCCTTCTTCGCTGACCTTAGCTTCAGGTTCTTCATCTTTCAGGATTTCTTCATTCACTCCATTAATGTCTTTGACCTCAACAATAGTCGACAAATAAGGAATCTCATTTCTAGCCACTTCCTACTGTTTTAACTGTTGATTCCACGCCATCTTTGTCGATTTGAGACGAGCTGAAGAATATCGCTACAGCAGTTGGCTGGCGTTCACTACTTTTGTTTGATTCAACTTGGTCCCGATTTGAGCCATCTTCTTCTAGGTCTCAATAAGATGCTCATTGTTCCTCTAACTATCTCATTTATTAAGATCCGTACAAAGGCAGGAGGTCTGATGAATTTCACGAGAACTCATAAACTACTGAAACTGAAAAGATTCCTGGTGCATTATAATTACAAAANGTTAGACCCAATGTCCATTTAACAAAGATGATGCCTTCTTCAAGCAAGCTAGAATTATCCCTTTGTCCTCATAACACTATAGCGTAAGAATGAAAGTGTAAACAGCACCAAACTACGGAGTCTACAACAGATGACAAAAACATGATGTCAAAATACCATTTCCCCTGATTATATTGGGAGAAGATGCCGTCAAAAGAATATTATAAGCAGATAACAATAAATCATTAACGGAAAATTAAGCATCATAGGCTTACACCGCTCTTCACAACTGACTAAGACTAATAAAGACAGAAAACTAATTGAGGAAGATCATAAAGAACATACTACAATGCGCAAAGCATGTGGATTATCATCGCGGTCAATAAGTGCAAGTAGCAAGATATCTGGAGGCAAAAGCTCATGGGTCCAGATGAAAATTGAAAGGTTTCCACATGCTTTTAGCATAAGATCCTGAGGAATGAAAAGAGGAAGACATTAGAAAAAAGCAAAGCAAGGAGGGTCAATACTCCGTGAAAACTTGATAGGTCTAGAGAATCAATAAGAAAGGAGTACGACAAAACCTGCAAGGGATGTCCACGCTGTAGTTCCAAGTGAATATGATGAAGCAAAACATCTACCATTGTATAAATATTTGCAGTCACCTCTTCAGGAGAAAACTCCCTCAAGACACGTCCCTGTATCCAATTATTAGCAGGAACGCCGTCATGCGAGAAAAATGTGTTTTAGTAGGGTTATCTCCATATGAGAAAGAAGTCGATGAGATGATCACTACACAAAAGCTTCTAATAACTTGAGGAAAACAAGGGCGAGCCTTACAAGGTTTATGCAGTTAATATTCTCCGGATGTCCATGCATTAGTATCCACGCACCAGCACAAAGATACTGGCGGTGTTGAGGAAAACTGTGGTTAATATAAGTCATAACATATGTGGGATCAGCCGATGGAGAAAGAAGCTGTGTGCATTGATTGATAACAGTTGTTTCTTTGACTGCCTCAATCTTCTTTGGGTCCACCTGAATACCCTCTGCTGATACAACATGACCCAGAAATGCAGCTGAACTCAACCAGAACTCACACTTAGAGAACTTAGCATATAACTGACTATCCCTCGGAGTCTGAAGAACCACTCTAAGGTGCTGCTCGTGCTCCTCCTGGCTGCGGGAATATATCAATATATCATCAATGAAGACTATCACGAACGAATCCAAATAAGTCCTGAACACTCGGTTCATCAAATCCATAAAAGCTGTTGGGGCATTTGTCAACCCGAATGACATCACTAAGAACTCATAATGCCCGTACCGAGTGCGGAAAGCTATCTTAGGGACATCGGATTCCCTAATCCTCAACTGATGGTAGCCAGATCTCAAGTCAATCTTTGAAAATACCTTGGCACCCTGAAGCTAATCGAACAAATCATCAATTCTCGGCAGCGG